AAAAAAAAAAAAAAAAGAACTTAAGTAAAGATCTGATACCAATTGTAGAAATATGACATACAAATCCACAGACAATTCTTTTCAGAACCCAGAGAAGCAGAAGGGATAAAGTTTCAAATCCAAAGCCAAAGAATATTACATTTTTCCCCTCAAGATTTGAGCTTTTAATGGGTCCTTGGTCTGATGTTGGCTGATCTAGAGTTTTACATCAACAAAAAGGAAACTACAAAGATTGTGCAGAAAGCAAGTTTAAACAATAGTGCAAGTTTATTGTGCAGAAAGCAAGTTTAAACAATAGTGTAAAATAAGCTGTAAAATAAGATACCTAGAAACAGTATATTATCTGTGTTCAAGAAGGTATAAACAAAAAAGAGAAAGGACTATAGAGGTGTATTAAACGCTATGTCAATGGTTAGGTACATGGGAGCAGATGGCAAGGTTACAGTGGAGGGAGAAAGTCAGGGAACACTCTCTGCTCATTTGGAATAAAGATCTAGGGCCCCTCATGATTTTTTTTTTCTCAAAGGAGAGAGAACAGTGAAAGAGAAATTGCCTAGACCCAGTACAAAGTCTACTTACACAGATCACATAGGAAAAAAACCTACTCAAGAAAGCCTACTTCTTTCAAAAGAAGGAAAGCCTCCAACTCTGCAGAGCATTTTTCATAGCTTAGGGTAGGGAAGAGGGAAAAAGCAATTCAAGGCTTGCTTCTGGCATTCTTTCACGCTCTGTGTTCTGGGGGTCTTTTGTTCTTTTTCTTGGTAACCAATTCAGTTACTGTGACCTGAGCTTTTATCCATCAATGAAATTTCCTCAATGAGTAAGGCACATTCTTATAATAATAGTAACCATAGTGTATAATGAGAGAGAGAGAAAGAAGGCCGGAATAAGTACTATGTGTGTGTGTGCTCGTCAGAAGGGAGAGTTATAAAACTCCATTTAGTTACGCTCATTATCCTCTGACTTATCTTCTCAAGTTGTATTTATCGAAAACCTTCCTTCGGTGATTAAAAAACCCTCACAATTTTTTATTTTGCTATTCTTTCTTCTTTGGCCTTAAGTGCAGTTTCCTACACACTCCAAAAGACTAAGACATTTGTGGGCTCATTGAACGTTATTCTTTACTGATGATTAATTATATATGAAATCATCAGGCTTTCATGGAAATTAAATAAAATGATGATTGCAGGTTATAACCTTTTCATATTCTGCAGGTGTTTTTTCTCAAAAACTTGTCTTTTTTATGCTCTCAGCAAGTAGTTAATAAGATACACAGAAAGTTGGTACATTCTCAAAAGCACCAATGCAAAAAAAAAAAAGTTGTTGTAAAACGTTCTTTTAATTAAAAAGAAAAAAAGTTGTGTACAAGAAAACACAAAATCCTAAAAGAGAAATACAAAATAATAAAAGAAAAATCTAACAGAAAAACTGTATTTAATGTTGTGCTACTTAAAGGCAATTTAGCTTATTATAAATGCTGTTTACACAGCTTAGAATGAATATTTAAATAACGCAATCTGGGGTCCGTGAGTTCGAGCCCCGCGTCGGGCTCTGGGCTGATGGCTCGGAGCCTGGAGCCTGTTTCCGATTCTGTGTCTCGCTCTCTCTCTGCCCCTCCCCTGTTCATGCTCTGTCTCTCTCTGTCCCAAAAAAATAAATAAACGTTGAAAAAAAAAAAATTTTTTTTTTAAATAAATAAATAAATAAATAACGCAATCTGGATGCTGAACTAACACAGAAAAACACCAGAGGGGGAAAGAAGGTTATAACAGTACACAAATTTCTATTACAGATACACTCTATTTGACACTGGAGCTGCAAATTTCATAGGTTATGCATTTCTAAATTTCTAGATAAAATCTAACCAAACTGCTTACTTTCAAAAACAATATAACCTTCCAAAGACATACCTCCTGTATATAATCATTTTTCTCCAAAATGGAAAGAGCAGCAGCTGCACATTCCAGGGTAGAAAGGCACCTATTAGTCGGTTGTGTCCGAATTACATACTGACTAGAAACGCTAGTTTTTAACTGCACCTGAAACCAAAACACAGAAAAACAGAATGTAAGTTTTGTTTTAAATTTAAAATTATACAGTCTGTGGGGGTGCCTGGGTGTCTCAGTCGGTTGAGCGTCCGACTTCAGCTTGGGTCACGATCTCGCAGTTCAAGAGTTCAAGCCCCGCATCGGGCTCTGTGCTGAAAGCTTAGAGCCTGGAGCCTGCTTCGGATTCTGTGTCTCCCCCTCTCTCTGCCCCTTCCCTGCTTATGCTGTCTCTCTCTCTCATAAATAAATAAACTTAAAAAAAATTATAAAGTCTGTGTTTTAAATACTAGTTCACTTCCTTCCAAAATCGCCAGTTTAAAAATACTAAATGTATTAATATCTTCTATACATAATATCCTCTAGTTATTGTTATTGTTAAATACTGAGAGTACAGTTACACATATATCTCACAATGAAAATATAACCAGAGTATATGCAAATTACTACAAATCATAAATTAAAAGACTAATAACCCCTTCCCAGGAGGCACAAGTGCGAAGACACCGCACCAAAGAAAATATAAGAAAGGCAAATAGGTACATATAAAAGCGCTCAACACAAAGCGCCTGGGTGGCTCAGTCGGTTGAGCAGCCGACTTCAGCTCAGGTCATAAACTCACGGTTTATGGGTTCAAGCCCCATGTTCGCTTGGTGCTGACAGCTCACAGCCTGGAGCCTACTTCAGATTCTGTGTCTCCCTCTCTCTCTGCCCCTCCCAAGCTCATGCTCATGCTCTCTCTGTGTCTCTCAATAATAAATTATTAAAAAAAAATTTTTTAAGTGCTCAACACGACTAAATGCAAATTAAAATCACAATGAGATAACTTTTCACACTTGCTAGAACAGTTAAAATCAAAACGACTACCACCACCAAATGGGGAGAATATGGAGCAAATGAAACCCTCATGCACTGTGGTAGAAGTGAAAACGATTTAATCACTTTGGAGAATTGACAACTGGGTTTTTTATTGTATGGTTTAGTCTTCCATTGTTTCTTAATATAGACTGACAGGGGTATGCCTGTATGGGGGTGAGTGTGTATAAAGAGATGTGTGTGCCCACGCACACACACACACAGGTGACTGACACCTTATGACTGACAGTCAGAAATGGGAAAAGCAATAGAAAACCAAATGTCAACATTCTGGCCTTTTGATTCCTATTTTAATTAAATGAAACTCAAGTAATCTCACACTCATAAAACCGTATTCCTAGCCACACTGTGAAAAGAATCACACTTAAGATGTGTGAGTAGGTAAGAATTTAAGTTTTTACTCATTAAATATGTAAACATGTGGAATGAGGGGGTGGTGTCTAACTCTTACCACGTAGTCACTTAATAAAATCAGGTGTTGTCTCTCATTTTCTGGTATCTCTGAAGTTCTAACAGTCTCTCATTCCTTTACAGCATTAAAACTGTCCTGTCTCTGGACCCTTGTCCCTCAGTCCTCTTCCTCCCTTGTTTCTCTGAATGCATTTTGTCCCAAGAATTCTCTACAACTTGTATCCTTTCTCTCCTCAGAAGGTGTAAGATAAGGAGGACAGGAAGAGAAGGGGAAGGGAAGGGAGAGGGAGAGGAGTAAAGTGGGCATCATAAAAGATTCATTACAGGGGAACCCGGGGGCTTCACTCAGTTAAGTGGTGAAGTGTCCGACTTCAGCTCAGGTCATGATCTCATGGTTCATGAATTCGAGTCCCACATCGGACTCTCTGCTGTCAGTGAAGAGCCCACTATGGATCCTCTGTTCTCTCTTTCCCCTGTCCTGCTCGCTCACATGCTCTCTTTCTCTCAAAAAATAAATTTACATACATACATAGTAAATAATAAAAGATTCACTACAGAATGTGTTTAATTTTGGAATACATTCTTTAAAACATATTTAATAACATTTCAGTTAAAATCACTCTGCATTTCTACCAACGTAAAAAGATGGAAAACGGAGGGAGGGAAGAGATGGAGAAAAATGGTTGAGAAACTGCAATGATCAAAGAAAGCCCATGATTAAATAACTGTAAGAATAATTCATAATGCTGATTAACTGTAATTACCAACTGCTTTGATATGTCATCAGGTCAACTAGAAAACCGAGCACAGCCAACTACTGCTTTCAATATTCAGTTCCATCACTGGAGAAATTTATAATAAACATCTGATTACAACAAAATCGTTGGGAAACATGAAAAATTCACAGTGATTTTTGTTTATTGGAACAAATTTGATTTTTAAAAAATAAGTTTGGAAAAACCAAAATTAAAAAATATAAAAATAAATTAAGAAGAAGTTTTTTATTTCAGTGAGTAGCTTTACTTCTTACCATGGCCCACATGACTGCATGAAAACTCAGAATCTGAAATTTATCAAGTGTTAGAAAACTTCAAAATGTCCTTCACAAATTATCTCTCCAGGAATTATCCAGTAACCGGATATATTAAGAGTAAATAACTAAAGTCTGTACTATGATTAACAGACATGTTATATAGCATGTTAATGGGATCTTCTCACAACGTCTATTATGCACATGTGCTGTATCACCTTCATCACATTTGATATGAGTGGGAACAAAAAGAAATCCTGTCAATCCATCTTCTTGAGAAGTCATAGGCACAATAATAATTTGTCAGAAAGTGACTTGCCTTTTTTTTCCTTAACTTTTTTTTATTCTTTATTTTTGAGAGACAGAGAGACAGACCATGAGCAGGGGAGGAGCAGAGAGAGACACAGAATCCGAAGCAGGCTCCAGGCTCTGAACTGTTAGCACAGAGTCCATTGCAAGGCTCAAACCCACAGTCCGTGAGATCATGACCTGAGCTGAACTTGGAAGCTCAACGAACTGAACCACACAGGTGCCCCAGAAAGTGACTTGTCTTCTTAAATAAAAGTTCAAGGAAATCCGAGGCAAAATTTACAATTCTCAGAAAAGAAAAAATTAAAATTTGATGAAAGTATGAGGCTCTATGGAAAGACCAGGATTTTTATATCAAACCTGACAATAGCTAACCACTTAGTTTCAATAAGGTCATTTTGCTTCTCAGTTCCTCTTCATCGACAAAAATCAGATACATGGACCTGAGGGTGTAAAACCTAATCCTAAGATTACATATAATATATATTATTAACTATAATTATATATTAATTACATATCACAATACAATTAATTATATATTAATAATTTCAAGTTATAATATGATTGTTGTAATATTGATATATCATATTATATAGAAACTTAATTTCCAAATATCAGAAGCCATACTGATTCAAAGAACACTTCAGTAATTTTGATCTTTTTGGAACTTGGTTCTCCAAGGGTTTAGACTGTTTGAGTACTCTTGCTGTAACTTCTTGAGGAACAGGAAAATCAGTGCTGGGTTTAGAATTCTACTGGTATGGATTCTAAGCCTATACTGTAACTCCCATTTTAGAAACACCCAACTCTTCCAGTTCTAGATCCTGCATTCAGTCTTTGCCAATGATTCCCTGAATTGCCTAAAATTTGAATTCCTGGAAACACTTGTTGTTATAATGCCTTCCTTTCTTCTCTAACATTAAATCTTCAATATATATTTAATATATAAGAATACCAGATAACATACCTAGGAATAAATCTAACCAAAGAGGTGAAAAATCTATACACTGAAAACTATAGAAAGCTTATAAACTGAAGAAGACACAAAAAAATGGAAAAAGATTCCATGCTCCTGGATAAGAAGAACAAATAGTTAAAATGTCAATACTACCCAAAGCAATCTACATATTCAATGCAGTACCTATCAAAATAACACCAGCATTCTTCACAGAACTAGAACAAACAATCCTAAAATTTGTATGGAACCAGAAAAGACCCCGAATAGCCAAAGCAATCTTGAAAAAGAAAACCAAAGCAGGAGACATCACAATCCCAGACTTCAAGCTATACTACAAAGCTGTAATCATCAAGACAGTATGGTACTGGCACAAGAATAGATAATCAATAGAACAGAATAGAGAACCCAGAAATGGACCCACAAATGCATGGCCAACTAATCTCTGAAAAAGCAGGAAAGAATATCCAATGGAATAAACACAGTCTCTTCAGCAAATGATGCTGGGAAAACTGGACAGAGACATGCAGAAAAATGAACCTGGACCACTTTCTTACATCATACACAAAAAATGAACTCAAAATGGATGAAAGACTTCAATGTAAGACAGGAAGCCATCAAAATCCTTGAGGAGAAAGCAGGCAAAAACCTCTTTGATCTTGGCCGCAGCAACTTCTTACTCAACACATCTCCAGAGGCAAGGGAAACAAAAGCAAAAATGAACTGTTGGGACTTCATCAAAATAAAAAGCTTCTGCACAGCAAAGGGAACAATCAGCAAAACTAAAAGGCAACCAACAGAATGGGAGAAGATATTTGCAAACAACATATCAGATAAAGGGTTAGTATCTAAAATCTATAAAGAACTGATCAAACTCAACACCCAAAAAACAAATGATCCAGTGAAGAAATGGGCAAAAGAAATGAAAAGACACTTCTCCAAAGAAGACATCCAGATGGCCAATCGACACATGAAAAAAATGCTCAACATCACTCATCATCAGGGAAATACAAATCAAAACCACAGTGAGATACCAACTCACACCTGTCAGAATAGCTAACATTAACAACTCAGGCAACAAGAGATGTTGATGAGGATGTGGAGAAAGAAGATCTCTTTTGCACTGCTGGTGGGAGTGCAAACTGGTGCAGCCACTCTGGAAAACAGTATGAAGGATTGTCAAAAAATTAAAAATAGAACTACCCTACAACCCAGCAATTGCACTACTAGGCATTTATCCACGGGCTACAGGTGTGCTGTTTTGAAGGGACACATCCACCCCCATGTTTATAACAGCACTATCGACAATAGCCAAAGTATGGAAAGAGCCCACATGTCCATCGATGGATGAATGGATAAAGAAGATGTGTATATATATACAATGGAGTATTACTTGGCAATCAAAAAGAATGA